CAAGTACTAACCCATTAATCTCTCTCAGAATCTTTCACATTTCCGTATACTAAATCCCTACACTAAAGATCTTGGCTGCTTCGCATATGTTCATGTCCACTCACACATTCGGGGTAAATTTGATCCTAGAGCCCTTAAGTGCATTTTTGTAGGTCATTCTCTTTATCAAAAAGGATACAAATGCTTCTTTCCGAATACTCGTCGGTTCTATCACACCATGCATGTCACATTTTTTGAAGATAAACCATTTTATCCCAAAAGCGACATTCAGAGGGGGAAACATACTCAGGAATGTCACATTTGGGAAGCTACCATTTCTAAACAGAATGTTTTCCCGAGTCCTCAAGTACTAAACCCACTTAATCTTCTCTCAGAATCCTTTCCACATTTCCGTATCCTAAATTCCCTACCACTAAAGATCTTTGGCTGCTTCGCATATGTTCATGTCCACTCATACCTTCAGGGTAAATTTGATCCTAGAGCCCTTAAGTGCATTTTTGTGGGTTATTCTCTTTATCAAAAAGGATACAAATGCTTCTTTCCGAATACTCGTCAGTTCTATCACACCATGGATATCACCTTTTTTGAAGATAAACCATTTTATTTCAAAAGCGACATTCAGAGGGAGAAACATACTCAGGAATGTCACATTTAGGAAGCTACCATTTCTTCACCACTTGTCCACACACACCATATATCACCCACACAAAATGAGCCCAAACCAAAAAGTACATTACCTACAACAAAAGAGTTATGTGTCTACACTAGGAGGAACAAGGCCCAAAAAGGTAGTGTTCCAGTAGGGACTGAGCTCTGCCATGACTCGACTCCGCCTCCAACCATCTTGGACCCGACTGGTAAGACTATTACTACTGATGATGATTTACCTATTGCCTTGAGAAAAGGAACCAGATTCTGTACTAACCACCCCATACAGGATTATTTGTCACTTAGTAATCTGTCTACAGAATATCATGTTTTTGTAAACAAAATAGATGAGAGCTCACCTGAGCCCAAGACAGTTCATGAGGCACTCAGAATTCCAGAATGGCGAGCAGCTATCTAGGAAGAAATGAGAGCTCTTGAAAAGGACAGGACATGGGAATTGACAGAGTTGCCTCCTAACAAGCGCCAGGTAGG